ATCAGCATATTATAATGATTTCTGAAGGATCATGTGACTCTGAAGACTGGAAATTCAGAAAATTCAGCTTTGATCACAGAAATAAATTACGTTATAAAGTATATTAAAACAGAAAACCAATAGTAGAAATTGAAATAATATCTCACAATATTACATTTTTTTCTGTATTTTTGATCAAATATACAAACATATACAACATTCACTCAGCAGACCCTGTTTACACCACACTGTTTTCTGACTTGTATATACTGATCTAGGAAGGGATGCATGTAGCCCCATTGGGTGGAGTGTGCGCGAGTCAAAATTTACATACACAAGTTGTGTAACTTGCGTATTGCTTTTGACATTTTCCCTTCCAAAAGCTGTTTCCCCATGGTAATATTTTATTAAGGAAGCAGTTTTGACTCTGCAGGGGTGTTAAACAATAGCTTTAATAGTCCAATAGTTGATTGATTGAACAGATCTCCAAAAATATACCTGATCAAATTCTTTTATATTGATAATTTACTCAAAGGTCCAGTAGTGTGGGAAGCTGGACTTTTACCTATCAATACATACCCTGTGTCATAATACAGTCCACCATGTTACCTCTACCACAACTTGGTTTCCTAATTCAGAAATCAGTACTTGTAACCACAATATGTACAGATTGGATTGTACCCTTGTTACCCAGAGCATGAGACACTAAGTACTATGTGTTATATAATATATTACCCTTTAAGTAGCCAGTACAAATACACACATACATCAGCAAGTGCCAGTGCAGTTATTTCTTTTTTATTATCACTGTAAAGAGTTTTCAGTTTGCTATCTGACCTGCTTATTTCAGGATGACATTACAAAAACAGGTTCTTGAGAGAAAAAAGCCTTAGAACTCAAAGTCCATCACTATGCTGCTAATCTTTGTCATGAGACCTGCAACCAGCCAAGCAAATGGTAATAAATGTGTTTGCTGTGGTCATGATCTGACAATGCAGTTATAGACGTCAAGTATCTCTTTTGCTTTCTCTTGTGTTTTAAGATATCGTCACTGAATAAGTGAGTCAGATGGTGTATGACTGTTTTTCCCCCCACTTTAATGACTATCGCAACCCAGATCACACACACACAGAGGTTTTTTAGTGGGATTTCCATGATGTGTAACTGTTATTAAAACTTCTGACACAATCTGAAGCATTTTACAAAGAGAAACCAACGTCATCTGCATCCCGTGTCTGATAAAGTGTACAGAACATGAACTCTAACCCTGATGGTGGAGGCAGCAGTGAGGTCAGGAAATGTAATGACATTATTGGTCACATAATTTTTTTTTTTCATGGTTCACGGACTGTCTGTGTGTATTTTAGATATGCACAATATACTGTATATCTAACCGATTCCAGCTAAAGTCTGGGACAGATATTTCTGAGTTGTGTGATTGACACTCAGAAATATTAGAAGAGAAACCTCTGAAAGTCACACCTAAAAACGAGCTAAAAATTAATGATTCTGGCTCTGGAAAATTTATGATTCAACTAAATTGTGCAATTAAATATTTAAAAGTAATTTGTCACTCTGATTACAAAATATGGGCTATTCTTTTATCTACTTCCTAAATTCTCAAATGTGGATGAAAAGCATTTTGTGCTTTGAACAGAACACAGAATACTGTGTAAATGGTCAAAGGAGTAGGCACTTATTATAAAAAGGCAACCCACAATTCTTTTGAAGGTGATACACTAATACAAACTTTCGCATTACTGTGCACACTCAAATTAACTTTCTGCAAAAGACTACTCATTCCTATAAAGATGGCAAACAGGCAATGCAGGCGAGACACTACCCACAAAAGAAGCCAGAGTGGAAGCAAATGCACTGTGAAATAACTATGGTAAAACACACTCTCCCTCATTTTTAATCATCAGTTGGTAAGAAGCTTCAGTTAAAATACACTATTACTGTAAAACACGTTTGACCTACAAAACATGCAGAAGAGAAAAGTTGCACTTTCGTTTTGTAGTTTTAAGGTGGTGTGAAACCATGACACAAGGTTAAAATAACAGAAGAGGGCAATGTTTTGTGAACAGCAACATTAGAGGTTTTCCCATTTAATACAAACATGGTGATCCATGTATTATCAAATGTAAAAAGGAAAATTTGCTGAAAATCTACTAACCCTCAGGCTATTTCTTCATTGGTAATATTTGGAGAAATTTAGCTTTACATCACTTGCTCACCAGTGGATCCTCTGCAGTGAAGGGGTGCCGTCAGAATGAGTCCAAACAACTGCTAAAAACATCACAACAATCCACACAATCCAGTCCATCAATTAAGGTATAGTGAAAAGTTGCATGTTTTTAAGAAACAAATCCATCATTGCAATGTTTTAAATAGTTCATATTTAAATCATTGCTTCTGGCCAAAAAGTCAGTCCATAATCCGTAACAATGTTTCTTCCAATGAAAAACTCCATCCCTTGTTATCCTCTCACATCACAATCATTAGATCATATTTGTTAAGAACAGTGCTGGAAAATATCATTTAATTTAGTTTCTTACAAACATGCAGCTTTTCCTTTCACAAGACATCAACTGGTAGCCTGGAGTGGTGTGGATTACTGTGATGTTTTTATCAGTACTTTAGACGCATTCTGATGGCACCCATTCACATTAATTTGTGAGCAAGTCATGTAATGATAAATTTCTCCAAATCTGTTCTGATGGACAAACTCATCTACATCTTGTTTGGTCAGGTGGGTAAATTTTCGTTTGAGTGAACTATTTGAGTGCACAAAGTCTGTCAGATAACAAAAACCATGCCATTAAACCAGTTTTTCTTTTTTTGTATTTGGTGGAAAATGGCTCACTATAGTACATCACAAATATGATGCCAACAGCCCAGAGAAAGCACAATTTGAAAGCACTCAAATAACCATGTTTTGAGGCAGATAGTAAAGATTTCTTAGCCATAAACATCAGACACCTGCTTTAGATATTTAAGAAACATGCAAGCAGATTAAAAGCAGGCATATAAACCTTTATTGAACTAAAAAACAAGAAATATTTACACAGACATTTAAACAGACTATTCCAATATTCAGGTAAACAATAAGAAATAAAGGAAAAAAATACTACGGTAATGACAGCATAATCCACTACAAGAAACTATGAACATGAACAGAATGCAAGTTTTGGATTTCTCTGAATGACAAGAGTGAAAGAAAAACACAAGCCAGTGCATTAATGAACAGCACTGCTGTGATACCTAGTTCAAATTAAGGCAAAGCGCCCTACACAGTAACTTTTAAAAGCATACTCACCTCATTTGTACATACTTTCATTGGTTCACTAGTGCCATGCACATAGCTTCCAGCCAAACCTCAATACATTAAAAAAAAAAAAAAAATCCTCCACCATCAGGCTATGAACACTTCCACTAACACTGTACAGGTGAAAGACACTAAAGCACAATTCAGCGAGATGTGGGGTGCTATTGCTGCTCATCCTCAGGACAGGAATGCCAAGTTAGTCTTTCCTCATAAAAGGCAATGACTATCTGTGGGCAACGGGTGTTGGCCTCTTTTGCAGGTACCAGGTCCGCCTCATCAGAGTCCTTCCTGCAAACACAAAACATATCTGGTTACAGATAATACAGACTCAGAAACATGACAGTTAGTGCAGCCTTGAACTTCACAAGCCATTATCTTGGGTCTTTGAATCAGAAAGGCTTTGCATGTGGACATGCTGCCCTCTACAGGCCTTTCATGATGGGACAGTTCACCCAAAAACGATGATAATTCTCATAATTTACTCACCCTCATGTTGTTATTAACCTGTATGACTGACTGACTTTCTGCTGAACACAAAAGATGATATTTTGAAGAATGTTGACAATAGGCATGGGACGATAACCAGTTACAAGGTATACCGCGGTTTGGTCTTTCCTCATGCGTGTATGTGCATACATTCTCGTACCTCACTGCTCCAAACTTAATCCAGGAAAGGTGAACATTCCTGCATCATAACATGGACTGAAAGAGGAATGTGTAGAAAGTGAGCATGTCTCCAAAAACCTTGTTGAGCTGCAGGTTTAATGACTGCATTTATTGATTTTTTTTTTTTTACAGAAATTGTGTTTTGATTTGTGTTTTTGATTGAGCTGCAGCTTTAGGTTCACTTAAGTGAATGCATTTTTTTCATTTAGAAGGATTTTTTATTTATTTTTTTACAGAAAATAAAAGATGTTCTGATTATTGTTGAGCTGCAGGTTTAGGCTTACTTAAAAGACTGCACTTTAATTAAGAAGAATTGCATTTTAATTTAGCCTGACATGTTTACTGTTCCAAAATGTTGTTTCTTAAAAATAAAATGTATTGTGTTTAGTGGAAAATAACGTGTTTTTTTTTACCCAGATATTTAAAAATAACATTTTAGAGCTGTAATCGCAATAAAGTGATATTTTTATCTAAGATTATCATACCATCAGAATCTCATACCGGCCCATGCCTAGTTGACAACCAAACAGTTTCCATTCTAATAGACTTCCATTGTATATTTTGTCAAAGGGAAATTAAGCTGTTTATTTAACATTCTTAAAATATTTTAACAGAAATTTAAAAAAAAAAAAAAAAAAGTCATACAAGTTTGGAATGACATTAGGGTGAGTAAATGACAAAGCCATTTTTGAGTGGACCATCAATTTTCAGGGATCAATTACTCATGTTGTATCAAAACTTCATGACTTTATTCTGGAGAACACAACAATACTTTCAAAAAAGGTTTTATTTGTCCATATAACAAAAATCATTCTGAACCATTGTAGTTTTGGACCCACTAACTTTTATTATCTGGACAAAAAAACAACTGAAAAATTAAAATTATCTTTTGTGCTCCTCAGAAATAACACCGGTTAGGAACAACATGAGGGTGAGGAAATGTCTATTTTTCCACTACGGCTGTATACTAAACGAGTTTACTGAATTACACAAGTTTCTTACCACTTCATGAGGAACATGAGCTCTCCACTGCTATCAGTTGCCCCAATGATCCTCTCTGGCTCAAGGTTTCTTGCAAACCCTCTTGGCTTGTCAGACTGGAGCAACAATTTTGCATTTGAGTCAGTTTTATCATTAATGTTAAAATCAAATCCCTGAAACTGATAACCAAACAACTTTACCATTTCCTTCTTTCTCTTTGCCTTGCTCTCATCAGTTTCTGGTTCATCAGTTGAGGACTTTCTTTTTACGGCTTCTGGATTCTCCACCACTCCTTTCTGAGACTCCAGGAATGCAGAAATCAGTTCAGGGCAGTCCAAATTATCTTCGGGCTCCCAAGTGTTGTCAGCACTGAAGAAGATTAAGGTTCTCTTGTTACACTCATTGCATGAATCAAAATGATGTAAAACTCAAACAAACAGTTCAGTATTACTTGAAAGAAATCAAAGTACTCACTCTGTGAAGCCTTTCCACTTGAGGAAAAACTCAACTTTCCCATTGACCAGTCGCTGGTCAATCACCTTCTCCACCACAAACTCCTCCACCTCCTGAACGTCCTTCTTTGTTTTGCTTCCCTGCTTCTTACCCATGTCGACCTAAAATGTACAAAAAAGTAATAAACCAGAAACCGGTTTAGCCATTTAAATTTCAGTCATTGAAAACTTAAATATTTACAGACATGCTCCCTTTCGAAATAAAATTATTTCATTTGAAAGAAAAAGTTGCCATTTACGACTTAGTTTTGTGCTACCTTTTATGTGTGCTAGTATGCTAACGATCTAACTACGCATGCATGAACAGGCCAGAGGCCCAAAAGCAGCTCATGCTACGTTTTGAGATTACTGCTTTTAAACCTTTCTGTAAAACCTTACGCTCGGGATTAAGGTCTGACTATTTTAGGAAATCGTTGTTCGCGTGGTATTCACTATAACACGCGCTGGTTTAAATAGCAGGAGTTAGCTTACTAGCTAACTTAGCTGGAAAATGCGCACACACAAAACAAAAACAATGTTGTTATACAGCATCGTATATTCATGCATACTACATATGCAAACTGAAACAAAACAATAGATTAAAGAAAAATACGTATTGCAACTAGGTTAAAGCATTCTTAATAGCAAACTACAATGGACGCTGCTGCAGCGCATGCATGCGCGCGAAAACTCACCCTCACAAAGGAAAAGGACTAAAATGTGAATTTTAAAGCGTCACACTTGCCGACCTGCAAACAGCTGCAGAGAAATTATGTCGCACTTTAGCAGGACACAAACTTTTAAAACTTTTACTCTCTCCGTACTCTATAAATCAATGGTACAGACGTCGACTGAGGCTCGACGAAGGCCAGCCTGAATCTAACTCGAGACCGTAAAGCCACGCCTATGAGTAGTCACGTGTGTCCAATGACGTTTTCATAGGGCGGAGCAACCGCGATCCTCCACTGGTCATGCAAAATAACTATTCAATAATATCATTTGATATCAATTTTAGGGTCTACAAAGAGAGCAGAATAAAAATAGGCAATAGTCTAAATCTGTTTTAGCCACATTCTGCATCCAAAACTCGAAAACAGCAGAGCATTATTTTGTAGTGATATTTTATCAGTGGTTCTCAAACCTCTCCTGAAGTACCCCCAGCACTGCACATTTTGTATGTCTCCCTATATCTGACGCACCCACTTCAGGTCTTGCAGTCTCCACTAATCAGCTAATGAGTTGAATCAGGTGTCATAGATGAGGGAGACATACAAAATGTGCAGGGCTGGGGGTACTCCAGGACAGGTTTGAGAACCACTGTTTTAGTTGATACCCTAGATATCAACTAAAAAACGGCGGGCCCCACAACCACCGAAGACTGTGGGCCCAGCTCGTCCTCCTCCTCCTGTGAGAGCTCTCTGGCTGCTGCCACAACGCCAGGGCCCAAACCCTCCTCCATCTGTTGTAGCCGGTGAACCGAAAACAACTGATTACAGCTCTCAGTGATATGTGTCGGGTTCCCGCTATGATAGAAGCAACATTCATCACAAATGTTTACAGAATAAGCGGGAACCCAGTGTGCCTGTAGCTTTCTTTATTTCTGTTTTATCACGTGATAGAAAGTCTAAGGCCTTCTCAAGCCGTACGGCTGACCCATCTAATCTGCGGCCTGTCAAACTAAGATTGCTGTAGAGACATATAGTGCCATCAAGTTAGCATTTTTAAACATTCGCTCACTAAAAAATAAATAATGTGTGATCAATGACTTAATAACCACAAACAACCTGGATTTTATGTTTCTAAATGAAACATGGCTTTAAGACAGCTGCCGTGCAACAGTCCTCAATGAAACAGCCCCTCCTAACTTTACTTTTATAAGTGTCTGCAGGACTGTTAGGAGAGGTGGAGGTGTAGCTGCTCTATTTAAAGATGTCTATCAATGCAAGCAAGTGTCATTTGGTCAGGACTTGTCTTTTGAATATCTAGGTATTGTGCTGAAAGGTGCTTCACGCATTTTGTTTATCATTATTTACAGGCCTCCAAAATACTCTCCAGCCTTTGTTGAAGAGTTCACAGAAATGTTATCAATGATTTCCTCAGAGTTTGACTGTTTTGCTATTGCAGGGGATTTTAATATTCACATAGATAATGCAGAAATCAAAACTGCAAAAGAAATTATAACTATTTTAAACAATTTTGACCTGATTCAGCATGTGCATGGACCCACACACAATCGTGGACATACTCTAGATTTAATCATCAGTAGGGGTCTAAACATTTCATCCATTGTTATTAAGGACGTAGCACTATCTGATCACTTATGTATTTTCTTTGATATATTAATCTTTGCTACCACTGAATCTAGATCTGCCTCTGTTAGAAAGAGATGCATTAACGAGAACACTAGTGTGCTATTTATGAAGGCTATATCTTTAACACCAAGCATTTCTGCAGACTCTGTTGATCTTCTCCTTGATTCCTTTAACTCAAAAGTTAAGAATGTTATTGATGATATTGCTCCTGTGAAAGTCAGCAAGAAGACTGGCAGACAGAAATCAGCTTGAAGAAAATCAACAGCAGTTCAGAGTATGAAAAGACAATGCAGAAAAGCTGAGCGGATGTGGTGGAAGATGAAACTTGAAATTCACTAGAGCATCTATAAAGACAGCCTTCATGCCTTCAATGTGGAACTAGCCACAGCTAGACAGAGTTTCTTCTCAAAACTTATAAACAGTAACTTAAACAACACTCGCACTCTTTTTGCTACTGTTGAGAGACTGACAAACCCCCCAAATCAGATTGCCAGTGAAATGCTCTCCGACAGCAAATGCAATGAGTTTGCTTCCTTCTTTTCTGAAAAGATCAATAATATCAGGAAGGCGATTAGCACATCCTCAAGTTATGCAGCGGTCAGACAGATTCGACCACAATATTAAAAAAAAGATACTATGTCTATTTTTGAAGCAATTGATTGAAAAATTTTGGAAGAAATAGTGCAGCACCTAAAATCGTCAACCTGCTATCTTGACACACTTCCCACATATTTTTTCAAAAGGGTGCTTAACTGTTTGGAAGCAGATCTCTTAGAAGTGGTGAACGCCTCACTTCTTTCTGGGACTTTTCCAAACTCCCTGAAAACTGCAGTTGTTAAACCCCTTCTGAAAAAGAGAAATCTTGATAACACCATATTGAGCAACTATAGACCAATATCAAATCTTCCTTTTATAGGAAAGATTATTGAAAAGGTAGTCTTTAATCAGCTGAACAAATACTTAAACTCAAATGGATACCTGGACA